AGGCAATGATGTGTAGTACTGTGTTTCCTTCTCTACTGCCGCCGTTGTTGTGATACCCAGACCGTTCCGAGTAGCCTTCGCGGGCGTCTCGTGTGGATTCCGTCTCCTCCTCCTCCTCCTCCCCTCCTGCCTTTTGTTTCCTACAAGGGCGGACACCCCCTCTCTGATGGGTGGTGGAGTTACGAGCTCTCAATCTTGGACGCGAAATTGCTTTCTTTCCTCCCGTCCCCCCCCCGTCCGCCTTTGACACTCACCACCGCGTCAAAGTTTGTGCGCGCTGGGTCGTCGCACACTCAGAGCGACAGAGTATCGTTGACGCCGGGATATAATTTGTATTTTGCTCCGCATCTTCTGCTGCGCTGGATGCGGTACAGTAACGAGTCTCTTCTCTCTCTCTCTCTACCTCTGTTTTCCTCTGTCTCTCTCTCTCTCTCTTTCTCCACACCGCCTTGAGTGTGTCTCTAAATCGGTTACTTTCCAATTTTCTCCCGTCGTGACTTTTATCTATTTTATGGTCAATACATGCTAACCACAAACACACACACACACACACCACCACATATATATTATACATATAAATTCATTTTGGTCACGTCATTTTATCGTCAACTGTACAGCACTGCGACCTCTTTCCGCCCCTCCCCTCCGCGCTTGCACCCAGACTCGCCCAGTTAACGGTTAACGTTGTGTGGGATGCGACTGAAGAACGAACCATGTTAAGAAGAGGAGCGGGGGAGTAGTAAAAGTGTATTTCTGCTCGAGGGCTTTCTTTTTCATGCGTCAGATCCTGCCTACTACAGTTTGCGCGAGGTGTCATCCTCTCTCTATCAATCTGTCTCTTTTTTGAACTTGCACTGTGGGAGGTGTTTTTTTTTCGAAATGAACACCTACAACAGCTTCAGGCTTCTTTTTGCTCTCACCTGCTGACTGACTGGCTCGGGTTTGGCAGCCGCGTGTAGTGTGTTGCGTTGTATAAGTGTTTTTTTCTGGCAAACGTGCCGTTGATGTATCGGTGACCAACTGACTTGCGCTGTCGAAGTTTGTTCTCATCGTCGGTCTCCTTTACAGAAATTAGTTTTTTTGCTTTGCCCTATGCTGCCCGACACTGTTTTGGTTGCACACGCTCAGTGCTAACATGCGACTATTTTCCAGGTTATTTCTGTGTCCGGCTCGGTTCTATTGCCTCAGGTTGCAACTGCTTTTGTTCAAGGTCTTGGCATTTTTGAGGGACCCTAGTTGCCTATCGGGTCTATTCGTCCTTCAGTTTCGAAAAAGTCCACCGCATGCTTCGGCAAACGGAGGGCAAACGTGGTGAATTATTTTTTTTTAAGTGGTAGAAGACTTGCATTGCGTCCACTGCATTCTTTCTTCCCTAACCAACCGAACCCCATGACTAGACGAGATCAACTAGACCGGAGACCAGATAGGGCGCAGATGGCTGACGCGATCGCAGCCCTCCCTGTGCGTTCCGCCCGTCTGACTCAGATCCCAGCTGAGTGAGAGTGCCATTGAAACCAAATTAAGAAGGAGTCCCTGCAGCCTGACTCTCAGTTCACACAAACACACACTGGGGCTTAACACGCGGTCAGAGTTATCCCGCCAGTTGATAGCCTTCCAAGCCACGCACCGAGACAGCTTCCAGCGCGTCAGATTGTTTATAGTGAGAGAAACGCGCTAACTATAACGCTTGGGAAATACTCCCAATTGTAATATATAATCGAATATTGGGGATAAAGTTTATTGTTATTGTGTTGTTTTTTGCATTACCACAGGCGTATTCTCCGCGGTTCGTTGCACCTGCCCTCTGGAAAACGCCCAAGTTGGCGGGTGGATTCAAGTGGTTTCTCGTTTTGGACTTCGAAGCAACCTGCAACAGGGGTCAACAGCCCAACCCCCAGGTAAGTTTGGTGCTTTTATGCATATTTGCGTGACTCCGCCACCTGTTGGTAAGAAATATTCGTAAAAATCTAATCCAGCACTCGCTCTCACTCCTTGTGTGTGTGTGTGGGTATTTTTCAGGAGATTATCGAGTTTCCGGTGCTCAAGGTAGACGCTGCTACTTTAGATGTGACGGACACCTTTCACCGCTATGTGCATCCCGTCTTCAACCCGAAGCTGTCCGACTTTTGCACTCAAGTGGGTTGGTGTCTCGTGCTGGAATTTTGTTAACTTTAGCTCACCGGCATAATTCAGGACATGGTCGACACAGAATCGGACTTTCCAGTCGTCATGCGGGTTTGTCCATATGTTTTTTTTGTATTTGCATAATTTCTCCTGCTTTTTCCCAGTGTTTGAGTCTTTCGAGAATGGCAGGTGCAACCACGCGAATTTGACTTTTACACTGAACTGATCTGATCGAAAACGGAACGATCAGGCCTCCCGACTATTCCTTCCTTTGTCTATGCTTACTTGGCTCCACAAGGTCGAGGCCACGCCACATTCCGTGTTGCGTGTGATTTAGCAGTGTCACCAACGTGCGCAGTTCTGATGTTGTTTATAGTTCCACTACTGACGACCCCGTAGCAGCCTGTCATTTGAGAATGACTTGTCTGTGTAAAATTTTTAACCAGCAGTCCGTGGAGCCTAACAACCGCTGAATTACTTTCCGTTGAATTTCATGACATATTGTAATTTCTCCTGAATATAAGTACCTGTCCCAGGTTGTCTTAGGCTAAATTCCTGGCTAGTGCCTCTTCCTGTATTCTAAATTAAACCTAAGCCCGAAAACCTCTACCTGGGATTTAAACGTAAGAACACCTGTTACACGAAGGTGTTTAACTGTGCTGTATCTATATTTGTAGTTCTTCCGACAAGGGGTGCAATCTTATTTTAGCATTTAAATACTCGTGTGCTCGGTGACACGAACCCTACGACAACTATTTTAAAGTCTACAAGGTAGGGGCTTGCGTTGTCACTTGTCCCGAGAGGCCTTGTGAGCCAGTGTTGCATCGCTCTGCGTGCCCTAATAGTTCTCTAATTTGGAGAACTTCCTCATAATTCTTGTTTATCAATCTCCTATCGATTTTTTCGTTATTCGATCACTATATTTGACTGCTGGACTGTTCGCAAAGCAGACTGTTTCCTCTTGTTGAGCTGCTCTGTCGGCCTCCTAGCACATTTGACTTCCTGCAAATTGACCCTCTTATCTCTGAAGGAGATAGTCTTATCACGAATTGAGGCAAATGTTAGCATCCCAGGCATGTGTATCCACACGGCTGACA